CCACTGGGAAGAACGTGTCACCAAAAATTGTGATGGCATATGAAGTCTATCGTTCAAAATGAGAAAAACGTGGCATCATAACGCAACGTGCAAGCCATGACAGTATCTTATGATAAGTATCGTTTTGCAGCGTTGCTGATGATTCGTGGTTCACGTAGAAGCAAAATGGATATTCACTTCGAAAATCAGAAACTTACTGTTGCAATCCAATCCGTTTTCCACATCGAGAGAACAAAAATCGATTTTTCTATCCACTTTGTTTTTTTCTTCTCTTCTAACAGAACTTAATGATTAATATAGGAATGGAGGCATCCAACACTGATAGGTCCGTGTAAAACACATGCATGTGTGAGAAGTAGAACCGCTAAAGTTCCTTCTCTCATATCGCTTTCTGTGTTTAGATCAAAAATCATTGATCTAAACAAAGAATGAAAAATTTCCGTTTATCTTATTCTATTAAAAAAGAGCATGTAAAACTCCTTTTCTGTATTATCCTTGTATTTTTTAATTGTGATTTACTGTGTTCTCTCAGGCGTATTTCACACGGCTGATAGTAGAAAGACCCAGTAAGACCACTTATTTCAACTTTTTTAGTCATTCATTACCTTCCTTATCCACTCAACACTCTCAGTCGCAACAAAATGAAATTGAGAAAGATACAGGCAATTTGTGTATATAACATGCTCATTTCACGTTAAAAACGCTAAACTCAATGGGAAAAATGTGACATTGCAAAAACCATCGCTTTTACTGTGACTTTGCCACGAATTTCGTATGACTTTTTTCGCCAGTGCATTTATCTTGACCAACGTCTTCAACTTTTGAATTTACTTCATAGGTCTAATAGCCGCCATAACTGTGATATCAGAAACACTATAGTGAGTTCAACCTGGCGTAATTTTTGTGTGCAACGTCAAATAAATTCGCTTATTACTGATTTACTTCAAGTTTACACGAATTGTTCCATCTTTAGTTGAAATTATAATTTAAAGCATTAATACGCTATGTGTATTAATAGTGTATTAATATCTTAAACTTCTTGAATTTTTTCAGTAAGATCTTGAATCAAGATCTTACTGAAAAAATTCAAGAAGTCAAGATCTTGGTTACAAGAAGTTTCACTAGGGCAGTCAAACCAACTCGATCGGCCCTTTTTTCACGTTGAATGATTGAACATTTGATTAATGTCTTGCTACTCCACACATGCTCATTCAGAAATTGTTCACATTCGTCTAAATAATACACAGATAATGACAAATCATTGATTTTATTAAATAGTTTTTTGTATTGTTCGAGATTGTTAAGAGAATGAATGTATAAATCTAATATTTCAATGTTTGTACACAATTTGTTTAATTTATCGAATGATGGAAGTTTCAGTTGTTGATAACGTTTATAACGTTTTTCGACGTCGAGTGTGAGCGATTTGCAATATTTTCCATAAACTGGTGCTACATTTTCAAGGTAAAATAATATGAGCTCGTGATCCCATGATGTAAAATTGAGATGGCGATAACAACATTCACCTAATAATTGATTAAACCGATGATTTAATCCGTAGAAAAGACACAATGTAGTTGTCGAACCCAAATCATCAAATACCATTAATATCACTTCATTTGGTAGATCACAAAATGACGGAGGCATTGTATAAAATACACATAAAAACAATAAGTGTATGTGCTTATGATATGACTTGATGTACGTGATTATTCGAGCTAACACATTAAATCATTTCACTTGTCCGTAGTTAGATAACATAAATGACATAAAGAAGTGTCTGCGCGTTAAGAAAGGTATCGTGAAGAAGGTCAGTGTAGGTGAAACTTTGTAAAATAAACAAATCTGTAAAAATCAAAGTCATAGGATATAGAATCGATGTGATAGAAGAAATTACTGAGAGATTTGGAGACCTATAGACGCTAGTGCACCTTTTAAAGTGACAATGAGTTAGTTATTAAGCTCAGGTTTAAGGAAATCATGAGTCATGAGACAAGGATAAGTTGTACAGAAAGTAAGTAGTCATCTCATATGTATCTCACTTACCATGCCACAGAATTTTTAAAGCAGAAATGATGTGCTGGGCGCGTGATAAAATACTACCCTAGTGGAACTTCTTGTAACCAAGACCTTGACTTCTAGAATTTTTTCAGTAAGATCTTGATTCAAGATCTTGGTAGAAAAATATAAGAAGTCAAGAAATTTCAAGAAGTCAAGATCTTCAACATCTTGTAATTTCTTGACTTCTTGTACCAAGATCTTGAAAATTCTTGAATCATCGTTTTGTTTTACATTCTTGTGCAAATATAAGTGCGAATATCTTCACACTTAGAATAATTTAGAATTTTTTTCCTTCTTGACCATAGTTGTTTAAGAAAGAATGTGTGACTCTATATGGTCGTATATTCGATGGCTACGACTGTGATAAATAAAAACAAAATGTAAAGAAAATTTGTCACTCAAGCTCTTGCAACATCTTGAGTGGCTTCACTCAAGATCTTGAAATTTCTTAACCCAAGATCTTGGCCAAGATCTTGAGTGCAATGTTCAAGAATCCAAGATCTTGACTTCCTGGTGTTTTTTCCAAGATCTTGGGTACAAGAAGTTTTACTAAGGTATGTACAAGTTTATGTCCTGAAAGATAAAGTAATAGAGATACTTGTTCTTCATAGATAAGTATATAATAGAGAAAAAATGAAGGCATTATAACCTGCCTAAGAAAAATAAAGAGAGAATAAGCAACCATGTTGAAAAGACTAGAAAGAAAATCACCGGCTAAAGCGTGTTTTGTTTTCACATCTATTGTACATCACTGATAAAAGTTACAAATAATGATTAAACTACTTGACGAACGGAATATCTATGACTGACATAGTAAATTGACCTTGTTGCAAGCTATATCTAAACTAACAAACTTAAAGTAAAATTTAATGGAAAAGATCTACTGTATGATTAAGAAGATAAAGATATTGGAAGCTTTGAATAACATAGCATTTATTTTATGAGAGTATAGATCTGATGTCGACAGGCTAATGTTTACTACTTTTTGGGAAAGATGAGTGATGTGTTTTTGTAAAATCATTTTACATTAAAAGCGAACTTTTGATACTTCACAGTATCTTCATCAGGCTAGTATGGCTGTCGAGAGAGGATTATATACTAGTTGAAACAGAGGAGAACGAAAGCACTAGAAAAACTTAAAATAGAAAAATATGTAGTATAGAACTGAGTGACTGTTACATTTTTCTATTCTGGACTGGTTTTTTCTAGACTGTCTAATCGAATATCACTGTCTTTAATGAAATGTCATTGTAGGCTAGCTTTTTTTTGTTCGTGTGTCAGTAGTGTCTCTTTTATTTGTCTTTTAATTTCGTTTTTTTCATATGCCGGTATACAGGGTTCGTCTAGATTTACAATGTGATTGTTTTCAGTAACATGTACAAATATTTTTGAAAATAAATCATCATTTTCTATTTTCTTCTCATGCTGGTTCATTCTAATGCCTACTTCACTGCTTGTTATGGCCGACGTAAATGTTAGTACAGTCTTTGCATTCTACACAATAAACAACTCCAACTTTTCTATGACCTCTTCCGTTGTATTTGTGTGAGAAACTGCTACCAAGTGTCTGATACTTTCGAAATCCATATTTGTTATATCAAATTTGTGGAGACTTCTCTTTAAACTCGAAACAAATTTCTTTGATTCACTTCCTAGATAATAAAAGCAAATATTCGTCTTAATTTTATCATTGGTTGACAACTAGTTTAGAAGAATTAGTGATGTGTCTATTGCAGCAGCTTTCAAATGTGTTATCAATAGTTCGTTTCACTATTTTGGATGGATAACCATTCGCACCAAGAAGGATTTTAAGCCAAGAAATTCATTATCTAATAAACTTTTTTGTGAACAAATTCGAATTGCTCGAATAATCAGACATTTGATTACAGCAACCTTTTGATATCTCGGTGATCCAGAATCCCATTTCATGTATAGATTAGTGCATGTTTTCTTCCTATATACTGTTGTTTCAAGATGATCCCAATGTTTCTCGATCAAAGATCTACAAAGGCTAATTTATTATCTTGTTCTATCTCTAGTATAGAAAAAAATAAAATAAAGAATCTTTGAGAACTTCCAGAAGAAGTGAGCTCATATACTAAATGTGTTCCAAAAACGAGTACTTTTTGAAACTATTCTTCAGAGCAGCATTCGGAAACTGAGAAACAAGAATCGCTCTTTTCAGCTACACGCTTTTTTATAGTACGGCTGTAATGTCCACAATCGTAATGCTAGTGGAATCGTGTACTGATTAAACGATGATCGTTACTAGTGTATAGACTAATTTCACTTACTCTAGTATGGTAGCATCACTCATCGATATGGATTACTGTAAAAAAGTGTGTAGCTGAAAAGAGCGATTCTTGTTTCTTTTTCTAGAAAAACGTCTTTTTCTCAAAGAAAGGTAAATGTTTTTTCACTAAACTTATTAACTTTGAGTCAAATTCGATAAGAAAACGGTTTCAAAGCTAGAAAGTACCATAAACTCCATTAAAAATACTTTTTAGATTTCAGTTTTCTCCTCTGTAAGATTATTTGGAAAACTAAAAGACACATTTTCTTACTCATCTCGATACGTTGTATCCAAAGATGTATAAATGAACGAAAAATAAAAATCTGCTGAAATTTTGAATTATTAGCAAATTATGTGCCGAAGAAGGAGAAAAGACGTGTCAATACGTTCAAAATTGGTTAGGCTACTGTTTATTGATAAAACTTGTATTTGTTTATTTATTTATGACAATGGTTTCTAAGGATCCTAACAAAAATAGTACGACTATAATAAGATAAATTCTTCATATAACATTTACTTGATAACGGACGAGGTTTATATATTCTTTCTGCCAATGGAAAACATGTTCATCCAATCAACTGTTAACCGGTGAGTCATAACAAATGAACCTCTTCGTTCTTCTTCAATACCTTTGGTTCTGCTCAATAATTTCGTATACTTTTATATCTTTATGTTCTAGCTTTTGCTTGTTTGTTTCTTCTTGTGCTGCTTATGTTTTTCTCTCTTTTTTATTTCCCTTTTTTATCTTATTCTATTTTTCTTATTGAATGATTAATAAGTGATTATTTACTGTTATTGTCATTTTTTTCATCTCTATAAACTATTCAGTACAAAAGAGATTTTATGAGACCTTAGACTACAAGGCCCGTATAGGTGGGTCTTTGCTCAACAAGTACTGAATTTTTTGTAGTTGAAACAGTCTGGTTCCAGCCGACAAAAGTTGAAACCTTTTTTCTTATTTTCTTTTTTCTCCGTTCTACTACTGCTTTGAAGACAGAGGAACTATATAGATCGATACTGAATTTCAAGCTCTACAGTCCAGTTTAAAAGCAATTTTTCATTCTGGCATCTAGGTCTTGAAATTCAAGTTTTATTGATAGAGGACGTCACATTTCAGGGAAATTAAAATTTTGACTTCAACTGTAAGTGAACAAGTTTGTTTCGTATACCCTTTGAAAGAGCATTGAAACTTCAACAAAACAATTGTCGATCTAGAAGTTTTAAATAATAAAGTTTTCTGAACACTTTTTTCTAAATTAACTTTTCAGAAATGGGGTCGCTTTTTGCTTTCTGTTTATTCTGATATAAAAAAATCATTAGCGATTGTCTAGTTCTTCAAAAGCTATATCTATCAGCTATTATCAAACAGTTTTAGATCAGCCCGCGTCACACATGTGAGAATTTTTCCTTCTTTGGATTTCTGAAAACGCCATCGTTTTCATTCTGCACTTTAGCATCATCTGCTCAAATTCATTTACGTCAATCTAAAATCAATCTTTAGAGCCTGAGGTTTTTATTTCGTAAAGCAATGCTTATTGTAGTCAAACACATAGTTTGAGCAAAAAGATTTTTTCAATATAATGCTAATGAAGAAAAAATAAATTGCTTGTTGGTCAAAGTTATTTTTGATCGAATTTTAAAAAGCACGTTTTTGACTCACATAGTTTCATTACTATACACGTTGAGAAAGAGCACATTTCATACTGCTCAAAGCGATGCTCTAGACTATGTTTCTGCTCGCGCAACTGTTATACATTCTAATCTTACAGCAGAACGTTGTTCCATAGTTCTATTGGACTTTAGAGGTTCATAATATCATTCATACGGTTTTTTATCTTTACTTTTCATAAGGAAACTTTTGATACCTTTTCGAAGAGAATCGGACCACGTATCATCTAACAGAACACTTAAGTCTAAGCAAAGGAATAACAAAGGTAATCGAGAAATACGAATCGAGGCTCATTCGTTATAGCTCACTCGTTACTTTCTATTTCGGACTGTTTTTACGTATGTTACACACTTTTTCAGTATCCTTCATCTTTGCCTCATCCACTTGACTCCTGAACATATTTTTCAGACGCCCTACATAAAGATAAAACACAATTTCTTTCTCAGTTGGCAGTCACTTTCGTAGCCATCCGATCCCGAGTATTTCTCTTATAAGCTATGGTTAGAGCATGTACAAATACAAGTTTTTCCCTTCTTGTACTTTTATTTGAAGTCGAGTAGCATTATTCACCAATTATTTTGAAGTCATCAGTCAAAAACATCACCAGAAAGGTGGAAAGATTAA